ACTAGGAAACGAAAAGCTTGGGATGACTTCTAAGTCTAAAATGTGAACATAAAGTCATGGTGCTCGCTTTTACAAAATTTATGTTCAGCCTAATTTGGGGATCACCGACCACAGTATCAATACATCCAGTCACTACGTGCGTCAAAAAATCATCAAGGTAATTGCGAATGTCAAAGGCAAAAGCGAAAGCATTGAATAACGAGTCCTTACCATGCCGCCACCATTCCACGGTCGAACTTCTCGGAAAATTGTTGCTATACGGTCAATCCAAAGAACAGGTTCGCCAGCAATTCGAGCCCACGAATCAGCAGCCCTTTCATTTTCATTATTCATCGAGATTACAGGCGTTGAGGATAAAACCTAAACATGGGAAAGATCGAGTGTGTAAAAAAAAGAAGAGCTGTGCTTCACCAACCATATGTAACCGCTGAATTATTGGCTGGCACATCTCTCCCAGGCGGAGACGGATACCGTCTTCAGGAAGGTTCATTATGAGTATTGTGCAGGCTGCAAAAACCCGTGAAATAGCATAAACTGCGAAAGATAGTTGCATTGCAGAATTATTAAGAGTACCTTTCAAACAACTGGAGATAGCTGCTTCCATTTTCTTGCCCTGACTCTGTGAAGATTCCAGATGAGGAACAAGCTGTACCAGGAGTGGTATTAAATGGGTTAGCTCCGACGACGAGCGCACCACGATCTAAGCGAATAAATCATAGCACTGAACGAGTTGGTTTACTTTGAGAACTTGCTTTACTAACTTTGTCTATCGCCTCCGCTGCCGGAGCGGCAAATGCCGGTGTCACCGCAAGATGGAGAAGCCACTCGACCGCTTTTCCTGAAGACCTGTGCTTTCAAAGTGAAGCATCGAAGTAATGAATCACATTCGACTCCTTCACTGTATTCCGTGATGAGAATGAATATTACATATTGCTTACCTAAGAATGAGGGATTCTTGCTCAACCACTCATTCGCACAACCAACGAGGTCCACCGATGTTAGTAACAGAGCGGGATGGGAAGTTGGTGGAAGGCCAAGTATTGCAGTTATCAATTCAGGAACCACAACATTCTCTTCGCTGAACCAGATGCTATTCAGTCAACTCAGACAAGCAAGAAGGATTACACTAGAAACTCGAGGGCAGTATTTCTGAATGACAACGTACGGTATGATATTTCCGATAACAGTGGAAATGATAAAAAGAGCAGCTTCTGTTTCATCCCATGTACCACCGGTTTGACTGCAGTTCATAAGCATTGCGTGCATCTTCAAAATAATAAATACATTATGGGCATTCGCACCAACACAAAAAAGGTAAATCCAAAAGAAGCTGCTCATAACTATCAAAAGATTGAAATCATTCAAAACATACACTTTTGACACATGCTTCTGTCCCGACAACGAAGACAACGTCACGAACTGTTTCCACCACCTGCAAGTAACAAGATCTATATATCGTGCTTCTCAAAGGGGCACACTCATCTCAGAAAAAATAGAGTCTAGAACTGACTCGTTCACGATGACTGATCGCGTTATGATCAATACATCAGTACAAGCTGCCAATGCCTCATTTTTGATCTATTTAACACCACCTTTTCCAGAAACACTTTACCAGTTCATGGTTTTGTTGAATTTTCAACGTTTCAAGCTCCACAGAGGATTATGGTTCCAAAATGAGGTATCACCAGCAACAATTATTGGGTAGAAATGACTAAGCTAACTGAGGATGAATGCCCAACCTTAAGTCTGAAGTCGGCAAAGTCACCGTCACGGTCTGGAATTCCTTCTTCTTCAGTATCATAACGACAGTGTCGGTAAAGGGCAGTCAAGTACCTGAAGCACTAGGAATATGTCAGAGAGCAAAAAATAAGTAAACTAATAGACATGCCGAACCTTTCGACGTAGGGCTTGAACTTTTCTATATGTTGATCATCCTCGAAACTGAACAGTCCCTCCGAAATTCGATACCATATATTGAATGTCATTTCAATCAACTAAAATTCAATATGAAAGGAAAATAACTTCGCAACTATCGATTTCGTTGTGCTCCAAAAATTCACCGAGTAGTCATGATGGCCTGCCAATAGAAGAAGAAGCTCGAGAGTATAAATGCTTCCCATGCTGTTCGGATCATCGCTGCCTTCATTGACAATCTTCTCCAATAATGACTCAGCTAGTTCGACAAAGATGCGAGCAAAATTTTGTAGTCTGAAAATGCTAATTGTTTTCGAGATCCTGCGAACATTTTCTAACAGCTACATTGACTAAAATGTGCAAAATGAGATGCAAAGAATTCTAACTAGGTTCGATAATAAACTTACTTATCCATGTCTTCCATGGCTACCGCCTGATTAAAAGCACCATGTAATTGATATACAGCTGCCTGGAGACTCCTAGCCAGGTTTTCGTGAGAGTGGTGGTCCTCAGCACGAACAAGAGCTGAGACTGCACATTCTGTAGCTGCATCGTGTAGGAAATTCGGTGCGTTCGGAGCTGCCTAGAAAGAAGCTGCTAATGAGTGTGGGCAATTTTACCGAGCAACCTGCCCGACTAACTCTTGAATCATGCCATTATAAAGCGTCCAAAAACATATATGAAATCGGAGTAGGAGTTCGAGCGAAGGATTTTGTTATCAAACAACTCACAAGTATTTGGAAAACGTTGTTAAGAAGGGGACTGGAGGCAAACTGGTCTGTAGAAAGAGCAGGATTCTGCAGGTACGCAGAGAGACATAACAGAATCTTCTTTATCATGTCATGATCAGCAGTGTAACCTTGGAGAACTTGTGACTGAAAGCAAAGTGTAATCCTGTTGAGACAACGACACCTGAATGGAGTACAACAATACATTACATCACCCAACGATTATGAACCTCACCAAGTACGCTATGACACTGGCCCCACTTTCTGCGAGTTCACCACGAATTTCGTTTCGACGATTCTCTCCAACTTTGCTATATTGAACCTCCTCTGAGAAAACTCGCAACAATGTCAGCAACATACGAGTTCTGTCTCCTTCCAAAGCAGAAAACCTGAAAGGCTCTATTAAGAGTCCGCTGTTGAAAGGGATTCCAAGGGAATCTACTTATAATGAATCATTTCGAAGTGCGAGGGAGCCTACCGTTGGAGTAATTCATTGACCCAGTTCTTCCATTCAGGAACTTGAATGTATAAATCGGCTACGGCGAGGCATAGCTGGGTAGCGGTTGCATCTGTTACTTGATCATGACACGACACATCAATATGACTGAAAACAAAGTTTTTGATCTTTGGAATATGCAGAAATAACAATCAACAAAACGATAAAGAACGAAGACCAACCTCAGGTGTGATATTAAGGATTCTCGAAGTGAAAGATATGCATCCTTGGGCAATTCACTGAGAGACTTCATTATTTTCTGGCGAAGTGTCTGAGCTGCAAAACAACATGCCAAAGGATCCCGTCGTTCGCACAATATTCGGTCGCAAAGAGTCCATGCTTGCACCTGAAGAACAGACTTTTTATCCTGAAGGATGAAAACAAGTTTACAAAACTATGGAGAAAATAGGATTCTATGCGTTTGACTTCGGAGACCTCATCATTCAGTTTCAGAAAGATTATCATTTCGAATAATAAGAGAACTAGCGAAAGCAGTACCCCATATACCACTGATAAGGATATCTCTCTGTTCCCAAAAATGTCTAAAAGGAATGAGAATTGTTCTTTACCGTAACCGTACGATCATTCCGAGACGTATGAAAGCGCACTCGAGGAACAATTGAAGAAAAGAGTTTTTATAAAGGAATCCGGGTCAGGAAAAGTAAATAATCGTGTTGTCAACAGGTCGCGCGCCCAGAGTGAGTTTTAATGGCCTTACTTAGGTTATATAACGTCTCGTTAACGACCTTACTTAGGTACTATTACGTCTCGGTACTCATATAGGTGTCCTGCAAAGGACGATCCTCGAAAGATGCGCTAGAATCTTAGAAGATTCCGACCAACATAAATAAAAATTATTAACTCACAGAGCTTTGCATACTGTTCAGCCATTTTGACGATTCCTCATTGTTTATTCCACTGTAGAAGATGGATATGTGCTGATAAGCAAGCGATAAATCTATTGGTTCAGTCATGCCTAGAAACCTCGAAACCAGATTTTACAAAACTTCGATGGCCGGATCTTCACGAAAGTTAAAATCGCAATAATAGTTGCAGTAACACTATCTCAACACAAAAAACCACACGCAAAATTCAAGTATTTATAGAAATTCACATCGGGATAACACTAGTACAAATCTAAACTACTGAACATAACAATCTAACTACTCCAAGAGGTAGCTTCTAATATATGAACATGAAAGCCAAAACTTCAGAAACTAAGAAGATCAACGCGACTTTCGAAAAGTGCCCGTAGACAACCGGTATGTGTTGTGAACCCTCCGGCCACACGCGCCTGAAAAGAGTAAAGTGGAAAAGAGAAGTTCCATGAACAATCAGGGAGGAAGCAGTTACAGCCTACTAATTTCACACCTTGCTTTGAAGAAGAGAAGAGCTCTTACCATACTAGCAGCACGGATATGCTGTAGGTAGCCTTTCGCTTCGAGTTCATCTTTATTAGGAAGTGGGGGCCCATTTATGAGTAAACGTGGTGGTTTGTACTCAAATGCTCGTCCCGACATACGTTGGGAAGTAGAGAACGACATCGATTCGGCCATACGTTTTCGATCTTGCAGAATTTCTTGAACAACACGATACAGGATTAAAAAATATGGACCTAAAACATGCATAAAGATAAGCTGTGCACCTTTGTTCCGCTTCTTTCGTCTTGCCGCTTCCTCCTTTTCTTCGAGCTCCTGTTCTATTTGACGCTTCCTTTCTCGATCCAAAATAACTTCGGCAGGAACATTTGATTCACGTAACTCTTCCATTATGGCTTTTGTATCTGTCACAGCTGATCTTTCAACTTCTTTCTGAAATGGTAACTATCGATCAATTGGCAACCAAACGAATTTTGTAAGCTCGAAATGATTAGCAGCAGAAGTAAGTTGTGTTTAACAATAAAGCGCACATTTTCCTGATTGTGGGCCTGATCGACACGATTTTTCATTTCTCTATCTTCCTTGAGGTTCTGCATAATCCATATTTGATCTTCATCCAATCTTAAATCACAAAAAACGACTGGCATATCAGCAGTATAAACAGTATGTCGAAAGACAAACTTCTTTTTGTTCCTTTCTATTAATTCGGCATTTTTCTCTTTGAAAGCTGCAATTTCTGCTTCCGTTTCTTCAACATCGATTCCATAGGCAAGATTACATACAAGGCACTCGAACCTGAAACGACAAAATAATATGTTATCTATGTGATATATATAAGAATTTAGATTTTGTTCTCGTTAAGAAAGTTCATTTGCAGAGAGGGAAACCTTTTCGACTGAAGTTTGCATGGTTTCCTCGAGGAAAATGAATTTCAATCTGAAACCTGAGCTAACTCGAAAATTCAGCTTCATACTAAAGAATAAGTCCTCAAAAAGATTAGGGATTATGTACTGACTTCAATTACAATACGCACAATCACACGAGTAGGTAGGCCAAGAAAATGGGGTAAGTCAGCAAAAAATAAAAAAAAAACAGCTATGAGGTAGCGAAAATGAAAAAATGTGAGTCAATTTAATATTCAAAAAAGGATAAATATGCATGTTTCGAAAGAATCTAACCTTTCCAAATAGTCGTTGAATTCTCGTAATGTGGGAAAGTCTTCTTTCTTCAGATTATAGATCTGCAAATAGCAGCTTTAAACGTAATAATCACTTCGAAGGAGAGCAAAAAAATCAATAAGGAATACTTTTTTAGAAAATCTCAGATAAATTCTGCAGCGAATCGCAAATTAACAAGACATCGTACACGATTGCTTTGAGCAAACAGAATACTAAAAAAGAGAAGGGTTGTTGAGAGCACGGACGTTAGATTCGATACGATACCTTGGAACTTACGACATTCAGTATTGTAGAGACCTTCTCTGCTATCTTGCCTACTGAATATCTTATCAAAATGGAGCGGAACGGAATATAGAAGTGAGTGATAAACTTGCCTTTCTGAGGCGCCGTCGAATGTGCGTTTCTTTTTCTATTAGTGGATCATCGAACACCTGTTCCCAAAAATTATTTCGTCGCAGTGTTTTACCGCACACATGACAAGGACCCGCATTACGCGAGAAAAGGTTCTCGACACAATTCCTGAATAAAAAAGAAACTAGTGAAAAAGAATGGCACTTCTCATGCTACAAGGAACTAAATTGGCTTACTTGCAAAGCGGATGTCCACATTCGTTCACCATCATTACGAGATTTTTGTTAGTATATTCATTAGACTTGCACTTTCCACACTCCCTCATTTTGTTGTTGTGTACTAAACAACGTCTGATATACTATCTGCATATTTAATATTAGAGAGTGGTTGTAAAAACAAAAGACCTGTTCAATTTTTCTTCTTTGAAATCTGTTTTTCGACAAACGTCTCTTTGTGCGGATAGATGTGACTTAGAGCAACCTGCCTTCGTATTGCTTCGAGGTTTTCTTTTCCTTCCTAAAACACTGTGACATGCGAAAATGGTTTTTCAATGAAGGTCTACGTGGGTGATGAAAAGAACATTTCATGTGCATTTAAATGTTGAAAGTGATGGCCTCTTAACCAGCTTACGATAAAGCAATTCAGTGCATACATGGAGCTCTAGGCAATGCTGATTCATCAAACTTCCCGTGCTTTTGCGCATCAAGAAGAAATGACAAAAACTCACAAGTAAAGGACAAAGGGATAAAGTTTTGAGTGTTAATCCTTCCCAACTGAGGGATGCGCTCCCGCACTCGCCTTCCTTTCCAAACCGTAGTGTACTGAATGAGTGTGTGGCCTGTCATGAACTTGCGATAGCCAGCCGAGGTACGAGCAAAGCTTTCCTCAGGCTAGCCCCCTACAAATCAACCTACCACGGAGGGATGTATGGCTTGGTTGGCCTAGGCGACGAAGACTCATAAAATAAGCCCGTAACACCCCATAGTACGAAATTCTCTCATGCGTGCAGCCCATACTCCGCGAAGATGTTATCAGGGGTTGCGCCAATGCTTAATTTCGAAGCAGCTCACGAACAAAAACAAAAAGCGTGATGACTTGAAAAACACGTGTCGTGTACTGCGCCTTCAGACTTCATCTCATTCTCTCCTTAAGTTCTTGCTAGAAAAAAATTTGTATTCAGCAAACTGACAGATGAAAGCTGGAGTTATTCGAAAAATCTTTTCTCAAGGTAAGGATTCATTCGCAGTTGTTAACGACGTGACAACCTAAAAAACTACTGCTCATTACTTCTTGGACTCGGGGATTTCGCTCAGACACGAAGCTGAACATCCGCATCTTTCTCCGCAAATACCGATTCAAAATCATCCAAACTGTTTTCCTGAAAACAAACATGGTAAATTTACTTTAAGTAGTTCTTCCTGACGTATAGGATCGGTGACACCACGGTTGGCTTCGAAGTGATCTCTAATCCGACGCTTAGCGAATTCGCGGTAGTTGTACTGTGGAAACTGGAAGAAGCACAAATAATTAACCACAGGCGACAAAGTACTATAAAACCAAATAGGGTCTCCACGAATGAACTAACCTTAGACGCTTCTCTCTCTAACTGCTTGTATAAACTGATCCAAACACTCCTCGCAATAGGCGAGGTCATCCGCTATCCTTTAAAAAAGTAATCTGAATAAAAACGGTTGAGATGAAAACAACAAACGCGATAAGCACGAATGTCGCGCTAGTACGGCCCACTACAGAGGTAACATATCTCCAAGCATTAAAATGATTACTTTCGATTGAATTAGCATTTTATCAACGGGTTTCAACGATGGTTTCCTGATTTGAAAAACTACTCGTATGGCAACCCAAGAACTGAGCCAACTGCATTGAAACGGGAATTGAGCCTATTGCAAATATCCCTTACTGACTTCATGTGAGTACTTCTTGAGAGCAGGAACGGTATATTTACTCATCTGCACCTTTGCACGCAACACGAAATCCATTTGGCTAACCCGGACCTCCCTGCAGCTTTTAGAGTAATAACGAGTAGAAAAAGCCCCTGACAACACATCTAGAAAGACCATTAGTTTGAAACCACATAGTTACTAGATGTCCGTATAACGCCGGAACCATAAGCGCAAAACCTATTAGTAATGGAGCAGGAAGTTGTGAAGGAACTCTTCACTGTTAATTTGTCCAACGGGCTTTAGCAATTCACATGTAGCCCCTCAGGCTCCAAATCCTACTAGGCAAACACTCTTAGTTGTTGAAGAAGTTGTTGGAATTACTCACTACTCAGCAGCAGAAGGGCCGAGTTGTTTACCATCTCCTGCTCCCTGTTGCTCTCAAAAACGACCCTTTATACATACATATTTCACATGAACGTAGATCGTCTGACGACCGTAAGTCTAACTATGTAGCTAACAGTAACAGTTGAGAGCACAGGTTTTGTTCAGTGATCACGAGAGATCATGAGCCGCAGGGATCTTTTCTGTCAGTCTTATCTAGACATTTTCATGGGAATGAGCTTTTTCCCGAAAAGCAGAAGTGTTAACTGGAGCAAAAGTTCAGTGACTAGGCTGGCATACCTCTATTATAATGTTGGTTAAGTCTATCAAACAACAACAACGTAAACAACAACAGCAATAACAGTAACAAACAACCAATACTCTGTCTTTCCAGTTAAGGTACCGAAACACACGAAAGAAAAAAACACTGAGAAAAGTTGTTTCAGAACTCTGCGAACTACGCGACACCATTCGTATCGACATACTTCGCGACTAGAAATAAAGCATATTTATCCTATTTAAATTTTCTGGATGTTGCCAATTCCGCGAAACGGATCGCCCTCAGCTTCAAAAGAAAATTGTTCTGCAAAAAACCGTCAAGTTTCAAAACTTTATCCATTCGCATTGGAGCGCGGCAACTGTTGGAAGGCTTCAGTTCTGTTTCGTTCAAAACGATCAACAGGACATATTTCAATCATATTTTACCTGTATTTATAAGTCTCTTCTTCCCTTAATAATTCTTTGTGTAGAAGTCTGCAGAAGTAGGGTAACAAACTGTTAGAGAATGTCATCTTTAGATTGCCCACATACGAACCTCTTTTTCAAGAATATCTCAAATGGGATTCTGTTAAACCGCAGAAATATTAATTTCATTCTCATCATTTCAGCCATGGGATCATCGGATATGAGTGAAATACCTTTGCCATCAATTTCTGTGGAGCCACCATCACTATCCCAAAAACTCAAGGATGCTTTGAAGGAAAATCCGTATTTTAACGCTGGAGCTGGACTAGCTGGAATAGGTCTGTCTGTCAGATTTGCAGCATACCCTTATGCATCCAACAGCCGAACACACCACACTCTGCTGACTTTGCTACTCAATATTTTCAAGGGCTCGCGCTGGGTCTACTTCGCCGAAGCGCTGTCATTGGCAATGCGTTCTTTCGACGGAGGTTTATGATTTCTCTCCAAATCGACAACGAGGATGCGTAGGTTTTATTTTTGAATTTAATGATCACCTTGTATTATTGGTAATGTACATAATGTACAGTTCAGTGCTTATCCATGGCTTTTGGACTTCATAAATCGAAGGAGTGCGAGGCAGACCAGGAACCTTTCCGTTAATACAGCAATTTCACAAGCAGAAAGTGGGAGAACTGCGATGAAAATAACCTATTTACCTGGTCATGGTCAACATTACTTCGTCCACAAGTATAGGTAAAGCCCTCACAATTATTCTCTTTTATTGCTTCATTTTCAATCTTGTAACAGCTGAACACATCGAAAGTCTACTTCCTAACTTGTAGATGGATCAAGGTAGAACGTCAACGAGAAAAGCAAACAATTCAGAGGAATGGATACCGTACTCCTTTCGAAACTGTTACCCTAACAACACTGGGGACGGATACTTCGTTTTTCAAAAACCTTCTTGAAGAAGCATCCCAGGAGGCAATATCGAAGGTGAGCTACTCTCTTATTGCCTGTCATAGAAACTGGTTAATTTCTCCTAGACCGAAACAGGACTAGTCGTATACCAAGCTGTCGGTCCTCAATGGTTACGATTTGGTGCTCCAAGGCGTAAGAGGGACATTGAATCAGTAGTCTTGGATGGAAATATTGCCCAAGATCTAGTCGCAGATTTTCAAGAATTCACAACTTCCTCACATTGGTGAGTTTTTTCGGATTTATTCAGCTATTGCCCAGCCTCATTACTCAAGCAAGACAATAGTTTTTTTTTTACAATAACAGCATGCACTGTTTTTTCCGCTTTTGTAAAGGGAATGATTGATTATCTTTTAGGTATTCTGAACGCGGTGTACCATACAGACGTGGATATCTGTTCTACGGTCCGCCTGGTACGGGCAAGAGCAGTTTCATTTCAGCTATAGCCAGCCACTTCGGATACAGTATCTGTATGCTATCACTTAGTGAGAGAACACTTGATGACGATAGGTTTGGAAATGTGGACCTGGTTACCAAAATGAAGTAACGTTTGAACCTTGTTTCAGGCTTAATCATCTTCTTAACACTGCACCCGTTAACAGCGTAGTCATACTAGAGGACGTCGACGCTGCATTCGGTACCCGAGCGGATGCTATGGATAATCATCCAGCTTATCAAGGAATGACAAGGTACTTCAAAGTTGTTAAGGTGGTGCTCTTGGACTCTGGAGTTTGCTTTTCAAATCAATCGAGCAGGAGACAACCATTTTTCATTATGTCGCTGCTGTTCTGAACGAGGTGTGTCTAGGTTTGGAGGTAATGATGAGCAGCAATAGGTGATGTCGCTGCTAGACGTGGTGGCTCATGAGTTGACTCCCTTAATTTCTTTGCTGTTCTTAATTGCTATTTGTTTAAAGTTTAGCTTCCACAATTGCTTCGTAAGGCGTGGTATTCGCCGAATGCGCGCTGCTCAACGATGTTGAGCCAGAGTTGGATGCATGGCGCAACCTGAATATGATTTTAGAGCTTTGTCATTAACCCCTTACTTTTATTTTCAAATGATTGTTCAATGAGAATCAAGTAAGAATGTTCAGAGTAACGTTCTCGGGGCTTTTGAACTCGATCGACGGCGTTGGTTGTGCTGAAGAAAGGATACTGTTCATGACCACGAATCACGTTGATCGTTTGGATCCCGCTCTTATACGCCCTGGACGCGTGGACAGAAAACAGTTCTTCGGTAACGTTACCGAGGGAATGGCGATAAAGGTAATTTTCACGCCTTCGGTTTCTTACCTTTTGAGCGCAGTACCTTTGAGGCCTTATTCATTTGGGGATTATAGCTTTCAGCAGTATTGTTTCTATAGGAGGTCGCCACGTCAGATAGTTTTACAAGGGAGTAAATAGTAATTTAGTATTACATGCTGCTCTAAATTTCCTATTGGTGAAAGCGAACTTAATAAAATATTCGGGAATGACATGCTCTGAACCGGACCAAAGAACGGCTCGTTTTTTTTTTTGAACAATGTTTTGTGACTTCCGTTCTGCAAAGGAAGTAAATGGTGAATGATAGGGAGGAGGAAGGAATCCTTTCATCAGAAGAGCTGCTGCGCAGGATGACACTGCAGCAATCAATCCAATTTCTAGGTCGATCGCCATGTATTGTTGAGCGAGGCGATTCCAATTTCTAGGTCGATCGTCATGTGTTTTGAACGAGGCGATAAGTTTTTATGACCGACACTGTTTTAGCGGACACAAGCATCCTTTTATGAATATCAATAAAAGTCAGGAAGTCTCTCTGTTCACAAGAAATCATTTTGTTCATTATTTTCAGATGTTCACCAGATTCTATGGCCTTGACCCTTCCGATCCACTCTGTCAGGAATTCGTAGCTCGTGTGAAGTCGCTTGGGCGTGAGCTTTCCCCTGCAGAGGTTCAAGGACATTTTCTGCTTTATAAGAACGCTCCTCGAACAGCAATTGATCGGATTGCAGTAGATTTATAATTAGAATAGAGTAATACATTTCTAGGTATTTATTGTAGAAATTTTTTAAGACAGATCTTTGTTTGCCTATTTTTCTTGTAAGAATTTTACTTACTGTTTCACTCGTCCTCATTATTTGCGTTGACATCTAGCATTTTTTGTACAAATTCAGAGAAATATTCAATTCAAGTAGAAGTTCAAATGAAACTTCATTTGTCTTGCTATTGGTCGCCCTAAATGGCTAGGGAGAATCCAGGAGTAACTGCTTTTCGTGGCCAGTAATCTGAATATCTTGCTGGAAAATGTGTTGTGCTAATGAAGAAGGCTCAGCCTCAGTATCCAGGAAAGACCTTTTTCGCAAGGAGGACAGCAGGAAGTGCGACATTAGGAGGCTAGGAAAGATTGAACACATCGCAAGCAGTGCAGGTCACACTTTGCCCTTTCCCCTCTACGACAAGGCTTGAGAGTAAGGGCATTTCAAGCACTTCCTGGCTTACCTTGATGAAGCCTGCTGAGATAGTAAAGAGATTCAAAGCTGACATGGGTGATAGTATCCTACACACCGTAGTTGTTCAAGCACAATGCAATTCTGATATCGCATCGATCAAGTAACGAGGGTACGATGTCGTACTTTTGCTAATTGCTGGGTACAACATAGAAACTGAGGTTCCTCTTGTTGCCCGTAATCTCCAGGCTTTCGTCCTTCTCGATTTCGGAGATTTTTCTGTCAGTTATAGCACTTTTTGTGACAAGTTATAGGGCCCGCCTTTCCCATTTGGCGGACCAGGAAGAAATGAGTAATGTCGTTGAGCAGTGATGTATTGGGTGAAGAGGACTTGCCCATGTGGGTGTGAGATTATAGGCGGCTTACAAAAAANAAAAAAGGGAGTAGAGCGCGGGATACTGGGGCACCACCGAACCGATCACCTGCCTCTTTCATTTCCAGTATTTTATAGCTAATAATCCAATAGTCACAATCCGCCCAGGTCAACCAAACCTTCCATCCATCTGGGGTCGGCTAGTTGGTACCAGACTCGTCTGGGAGTATAAAAGCACTGACTTGTACATCGGCTGGCCACCGCAAGTCACTTATAGGCCACTTACGCACTCATTACGCCACTACGATACTTAATGGAAGTCCAGTGCAGGGGCGCATCCCTCAGACGGGATTGATTTACGTCAAAAACTTATCCTTTATCCTTTTTAATGTCACAATTGCCATTGATTCTTATATTCCATGTAGCAGAGCCAGAAAATACGATCTTGAGGCTGTGGGCTTCGAAAGTACTACTACTATGTAAACCATAGTGGATAGAAGTTCCCACTTTTGTACTACGGATGAATCAGCGCTATAGTTTGCACACCATTGCGGAGCGTTGTCCATAATAGTAGCCAGTAATGACTTCATTTTTACAAAAGGCGCTTTACGATTATGTCTGGGAAGATTGTTCTCACATGCCTCTGCTGTCGTTTGGAACTTCTTATTCAATAGTTTTTTGGGTAACTCTCGTTACTTGCCTTGCTTATTCAGAACAAATCCTTGCTTGTCTTCGTTGGGTACCCGGGATATTTGATAGGTACACAAATAATAGCAGTTCATATTTTTTCAAGCTCTTCAACAGATTTTGCTTTGCCTGGGTTGTCCTGTCCTTGCTCCGTAATATCCCCGCCCTGCTCCTCCTAATAAGTTGATTGTTTTTCGTGGACGACAGCAAAATGGATGGTCGCAACCAAAAGTACTTCAAGATTTTCAGAAGGCCGAAAGAGCTGCATAAGTGGCGTCAAAGAGCTTGAAATGATGGATGTTCCTATTTCAGAGCGTGGCTGTCATCGATTCAATCTATGGCTGGCATAAATATTCACAATTCTTTTTGTAGGATGGATAGGCTTTGGAATGGATGATATTGAGCAATGGTTGATAGAATTTAGCCAATTGTATATCAACTAGGCGTCGTATTCCTTGGGTCTATTTCTGTCCCACCGCTGTCGACGGCTGTTGAGAGAGAGAATGGAAGGCCATATTTTGAGGCCAGAACTCGTTCATGTTGGATAATTGACGGATTCAGAAAGTATTTTTCTTTCCTTGCTCCATTTGTTATACATGCTCCCTTACTTGTCCCGACTCCCACCCATCCACCTCCTCCTCCCTGTAGACCCATTTTTAGGAAATGTTCTGAACCGGGCGGAGACATTTTTTGAAGAAAGTAATTGATGGAGCCATTTGAGGCAACGTCATGCTCCATCTTTGAATACTTCTGAATCAGATTTCTGACTTGCTTCCTCTCAGTCACTCTGGAAACAGTTCAAATAAAGAAACTCTGCCACCTTGAGAAATTACGAATTCCTATCGTCAATAGTTTCGGTCCTCATTTCGGGAGAATGCAGAAGAATCGATAGAAAGCTCATTTGATGGAACAGAGTCATTTCATTTAAAACTTTGCTAATTGGAGTAAAAAGAGGATAAAGATTAAAGTTTTTGGTGATAAGCAATCCCTTCTTTGGAGCGCACCCTTGCATTCCACTTTGGTGCCAGTTAACTACCCCCAGGGAATGTAAAGCTTTGTTAACCTAGGCGGAATCGATACGGGGTTCGAACCCTGAGCCACGCTTGTGTATTAGTGCACCATACTCCTGTACACCACATCCCCCAATCAATCCACCTCTACTATTGAAGAAAAAGGGAGCAAAAGTACCCCCCTTCCCGAGACTGAAGGAATTGTTGGAGAATTTGATGAGACACCTCTTTCTCGACTTTTCTCCCCAAAACGTGATCTTTTGTGACGATTTCGCCTTGAATAGGTTGAAAGGCATTATTGGAAAAACAGGTTCGAAAGCAGCGCTAAAAGGTTGCTTTCAAAAAAAATTACCCTAAAATCCCATAGATAAGAGCGGGTGAACCTACCGGTGAAAAATGAATTGGAAAAAATCGAAATTGAATGCAGTCACCCCTCTAACTTGATGGATGGGTAAATTAAACCTCGAGGAAGAAGTTAAGAAGAAGCTCCGCCACTCAACTCTAATCCCCGCCCACTTAATAAACAATTTATATAAAAAACAGCGATCCGTAAAAATCCGTAAGTTAGAGGGGTGACTGCATTCAATTTCGATTTTTTCCAATTCATTTTTCACCGCTCTTATCTATGGGATTTTAGGGTACTCTACATCGTCGATGGTCGTGCTGCGCCCTTTGTATCACTGAAAAATATCGATTAGAAGAATCGGATACTAGCGCTGTTCACGAAATAGTACTGTTTACTCAAAGTCACCTCATATTTTCGCATTAAGGTCAAAATTTCCATTTATGACCGTAATTGTATTCCTGGAACTAGTTCGACCTCGAGTGGGCACGAAAACAGGCTGGTATAGAGCGTCCGAACGAGAGGGCTTACCAGGGTAATTCCAAATCCTGTAACTAAGGGTGTTATGCACTGAACGCATGTATTTATATGGCATTTAAAATGTTGTAGGGGAAAGGTGATGCAGTGGCAAGTGGCGCACTATCGCACATGCATGGTCGCGAGATCGAATCACGGCTTGATACTCGCCACGGCCAACTATGCCTTCCATCTTTCCGGGATCGGTTCCTGACTAGTCTGGGTAGTCTGGGAGCAAAAAAACCCTGAATTGTAAATCGGCCGGCCACCGCAAGTCGTTGTATAGGCTTATACGCCTTTGAAACGCCATTAAGATTCTGAATGGAAGCCGATTGCGGAGGCGCATATCAAAAATGAGCTTGATTAATGCCAGAGGCTCTATCATTTCTTAAAATGATAAGATATCGTATTTGCTCTAGAGTGAATGCTAAAAACCCGCAGGAGCTGTCTGCATTACCAGGTAGCGCACACACCTGTTTTTGAGCCAAACGACCTAGATTTTCGTGAAACAAGTGGGGCAAGCTGGACAGCCACCCAGCAAGACAGCTACATCTGTACGAGTTTTTAGTAAAGTTGAAACCCAGCATCGAGAGATTCGGGTGCGGGAGCGGGTGGTGACCAGTGTAAATATTTGGTCTCACAAAAGAATTAGACAGGTATCGAATAGCTAAATCCATCTTTTTTGAAGGATCGGAAGAATCGTGAAACCATTGAAGAGGGCTGTGATCGTGTCAATCGATTTCCTAACTTTCGATCAATACACACATCCGATCTGCAATTCTCCCATCCCCCGATCGAATGTATCCAATTCTTTTGTGTTGTTAGAACTGACGTTAAAGTCCTCAACTTTTCTCATTTTCTGGGAGCGCTGACTCCATCACTTCCCAATCTACTGAGCATTAGAACCAGGACTAACCAGGGTAAAGGAAGTTTTCTGCCTTCGAGATTGTAAACCAGTCATGGGTGGGCCATCTCACAGGAAATCACAAGAACTGGGAGATTAATTGTTGCAATTTTCTGTAGTTGTTTGGTGAAGGGATAATGAAGAACAGGAACTTAGAGAGGAGGGTTTTTTGGGAGCCCCGAACAGGACGAATTCGTGAACGGGGGCTATTTGGAGTGTGAGCGCCACAGCGCGGGCACGATGACGAATTGATCGTCGTCGTGGCTGCGCTGCCCACCCCACAATCCCCCCTCCCCTCACACAGCAGCGCCTTATTTTCTTTCTTCCGTTCACTCATATGCTTGAATATATATTTCCTGCATATCCAGGTGGGCCAGGTAGCCCGAATCTTGACTACAGCAAGTTCTGGTCTCTTGTTTTAAACTGGGTGTACGAATTGCTGTTACTTCAGAACGGAACAGCGGTCGGGTTTTTTTCATTCACTTGTTGTTATTCGTGTTTAAGATATGTTCTTTGCCCCCCTTCGTTCTGTAGGAATATGTTCAATGTACGTTTTGTTTGACGTGGCGATGGTCGATTCATCTAGATAAGAAAGCTCTAGGAGGAACGGTGCATCGTCATCGAATCTCCCTATTTTAGAAATCAATCATTCAAATCGATACTGAGCAAAAACTGTTCCAAATTGTCGGTTCTTCGTTTTGTATTGCGTAAATATCTCAGTAATCGGATTTTATTGATCCTACTCTTAAGTGTTGATCATGATCTAAGATTTAACATTCTGAGAAATGTGTGGTAATTTGTACTTTGAAGATTTCCAGAAACGTTTTTGCCATTGAGCGATGTCAGCCTCCCTTTGCTCACGTAAACATCTCTCGCACTTCTGCTAAGCCTCTCTTGAATGTCCTTACACTGAAAATTGAGCCATTTAGGCCATTCTAAGCCTCTGTGAAAATTGATATAAGTCGTCTAATTGGCATATATTTATACTAGGCTAAGGCGATATTCCGATTTGATCTGCCAGTAAGACCTACCCGCTCGAAATAGTAAATCGAAATGGTGGTAATCCACTCGGGACGTTAGATATCGACCTCTCCATTTACAAAATCGAGGATATTATGTTGTTAGGGTGGAGTAAGCTCGTCTTGGGTGGCTGACTCGATACCCATCCAGTGTCAATTATCATATCCCTATCCACATTTTCGCGTTTAGAAGGTGGCAAAGCTAAACTGCTTTTACTTTTCGGAAGCTAGGAAGTGCGGGAGGGCGGAAGAGTCAGATCACCTATTTTTCGGGACCTCTTTTCGGATTTGCGTGAACTGTCCTTAGAACTTGCAAAGCTTCCGTGCTTACTAGCGTTTTATGAGGTCACGACTCGTCCCGTACTAGGTAAGCAATACAGGAGCAAAATCCACGTCGGCGCTATGACAACGCATATTCTGAGTCGTTCATTGATGTTTCACCAGTGAGAGGTGAAAGGAAGTGTTCAATAGGGCGGCTGCTTGGCTAACCCTTCACTCGCATAGCTCTCCAAGAGAATTTTCTGATGCCTGCTGTCGCACATAATGTGATGGGAAAGTACAGGAACGAAAATTCAGGCCGGCACTCGGTTCTTACAGTAATCCGGCACGTGTTAACACGCAAATATTTACCCGTCATATATACGACGCGTCGAAAAGGGGCTTTGGGCAAGGACACGGGGATGGGTGGTGGGGTAAGCCAGGGGGTTACCGTAAGAACCGAGTGCCGGACTGAATTTTCGNCGATTTCCTAACTTTCGATCAATACACACATATCCAATCTGCAATTCTCCCATCCCCCGATCGAATGTATCCAA